ATTGCGTGCATCTGTTGCGTTCTGTGAATTCCCTTTTGAATTTGGGTCGACATTGATCTCCAATATTCAGTGCATTTGACTTGTTTCCTATTGCATTGGTATTTCCAGTTTATGATTTTTGGACATTTTCAATTGTTGAAAATCACTAGATTTCCGGTTTTGCCATCTTGTTGAAAATTGAAATAATTCCTATCTCTATCTATTGCATGATGAAAATGCCATCAGTTATTATCCTTAGAAGATTAAGAACATTTTGCACAAAGATCAAAAAGAGAAGATTACGAACACTTGATTGCTAGTTTTGAGATGTAAGGATACAATAATCACCTAAGCATTTTGGTATAGCAGTCTGCAAAGAACTGTGCAAAATATTCTTTTGTCTAGTAACTTGCCGATAAACTCTGTGATCTCCTCATTAGACTCTCGTGCTTTTGTCTCCTCTGCCCTTGCTGCTGAAGCTGGGGCTATCCTTTCGTCTCTGCGTTATGCTATTGAGGTGGGCTGCCACGACCTCTTGATGAAGAGGTTATGACACACAATCTCTTGTCTTGCTCCTCAACTCGGGGGATGCTCACAATGAGATCCAAGTCCTTCTCAAAGACATTAGAGATTTGACTCTGCCTTTACTTCTCTTGCTTTTGTTCATGTTCCACGATCAGCTAATGTTAATGGTGACTCGCTTGGCCTCCTTAGATAATTCTGTTCTTCACTAATTAATAATTGAATCGCTTGTGATATAAAAAAACATTTTGGTGTAGCAAATCTTATTTTCTTTGTTTATTTATAGTTTTATACAAAGAGAAATCTTGGTAAGTTCGAGAAACAAAGTGATGATGATTTTCTTATTTGTCTCTAATAATACAGAATAATGTTTACATGTTGATATGGTCAAAACAGTATCGGTATTAATAGAGAAAATCAGTCATTTTGCGGTACTAGGAATTTAGAAACCAACTATGATCGAATCTAAAATTTTGTATGTGCAAATCAAAACATAACTGTTACTTGCCAAAAAAGCAAAAAAAAAAGAAAGATGAGATTTTGTTGATTGCTTCAGACACAAGAAACCTTAGAAAATACCTCCTTCCTTTTCAGTTTATAAATGTGGTCGCAGTTGTATCTAAGTTATGAAGCAGTGCTATAGTTAACTATATATAGTTTTATATCACTAACTAAAGTTTTTGCAATCTTTATAGGTCGAGTACTATCTTTGATTTTTTAAAAAGAGAAGACTCAAAATGACGTCTCAACCTAATAATCATGATCACAAAGACGAGAGATTCCAACTCTACAAGACGTGGTACTAAGCAACTAATTTACATATATTTAAGTATATATATGCAATAAGCTAATAATTTACAAATATTGTATATGCAATAAGCTAATAATTTACAGCATTTGAAGTCTGTGTTAAGGCATCAACCTATTCAGCTCATATCAAAACCCGCATCTGCGCTTATGGCGTACATCAATTTGGTCTCAAGTAGCTCTTTGCTGCATCATTGACAAGAGATTTTTAATTTGGTTTCTCCAATCACAGCATCAAGTGCAGGAGAAGATTTTTGACAACAAATCAAGTTTCTCAACTTGGCAAAACCAATGAGATTGTGCTACGAAAGGACAAACCTTTGATAGGGTAGAAGCTTAAGAAGGTTCAAACAAGCGATTGATGTAGGTAGTCCATCAACTGAATCATTACCGGCATCCCTGAAACAGATTCCAACCGACGATGGATCTTTTATGACTGTTACTTGCCAATGTGAGTTAAAAGTGAAAACGATTCTGAGTTTCTGTAACTTACCTCAGTATACAGAATGAAGGTTTCAAGTATTTGAAACCGAGCAGTGGTCCTCTTGAACAGCTAGTCACAAATTTGGGATGAAAGATGATAGATGCTACTTACCTCTCGGGTTCCGATGTATACAACAAAAAGACTCACTCATATGATTAATAAGGTGAAGTTGTCTTACTTTAACAACTTCTTCTGGTTTTCGGTTGAGAAGCTTTTTATAACTTCCCAGAACATATCAATCACAGAATGTCCCTGTCAAGAACACAGCGATGAAATCATATCACAATGTCCCAAACACATAAAATGGAATTTTGGCAAACAGCAAAGAACAACTCACAATGTGGTACCCTCCAGTATAACTACTGTTGCTTCGCAGGTCGTCAATATCCAAACTTTCAACTGAACCAGATATGAGAACCTGCAACCAAATCCCACAAAGGTAGGCAATGAGCGTAGTTATCTGCCTGAGAACTTATCTGTTCATGCTTCTTGAGAAAGCTAGCAAAGTAAGAATAATAACCATCTACTGCCTGAGAACTTATCTATTCTAGTTTCATGTTGCTTGGCTCCACCAAGCAACATGAAACTAGAATGTTGAGCAAAACTGACCTTGAGAAATATAAGATGCCTATACAACTCAGGATCCAGAGAAGGCAAATCGTTCAAATAGTTGTACCTAGCCAATGAAAAACAGAAGTTTTACAACATGTTCACAAGGTCTTAACAAATGAAACAACAGGAAGTTGCAGGTCACTTTTGTTTCAATTTGCTGAGGAAGAACGTTGCAAATGGTATATCAATTAGAATCCCTTCAAACATAGCCTGCAACAAGATAACGAGAAAAACATGCCATCAGTCTCATCATAACACATGAAAATCAACTTCAATTAAAAAAGGCAAAACTATATAAAATTTCTTTGAAAACGTCAAGACAAGTATACCCCTACAAGTTATATTTGCATAAAAACATGGCGAGAGGAACCCGTAATGTATTTGAAAAAAAAGCAGACCCGGTGTACACTTCAAGCAAGATGATATGCTTTCTGTCGTATGTATAAAAGTTTTAAGGAAGAAAGATTGGTAACATAAAGACTTTAGCATCAAGGCCACCAATCAAATACCATACTTTTGCGAGAAGACGGCCGAGAAAATGAAAGAACTGGAGATGCTGTTCATGTATCATTCCTGATCCAGGATTAGGATAAAGCATGTGATCCACAGTCTCCTGAAACAAAGCATGAACAAGATTTTCTTATAAAAAAGACAGAGAGTGGAAAATTATGAAATTCACAATAAATTGAGTGAGTAACTAGACAGACGACCTTAAACAACCCGTATTGCACATCAAAGGCTGCTTGGGTAATTTTCTCCATGAAGTCTTTGAAAATGCCACCACCATCAATACCAGTTACCGCCACTCCAAGCTCATTGACAAATGTCACGCGAATCTACAGCCAGTAGTTATTTACATTATTAGTATCGCAGAGTAAAGAAAATATGCATCTGTTTCAATTGTGAACAAGCGATTGCTTGAAGGCAGACGTCAGGCAAGAGATAGAACTTACCGATTCCCGGAATTCATCCTCTGACAATGCATTCATTTGATTGTAAGCATCTTCCAAGATGTGATCTCTTCGTATTCTGAACGGTTTTCGAGCAAAAATGCCTTGATATCCATGACTCTGTCTTGCTGTTGCTAATTGTGTCTACAAATGATGTCCAGTGAGTAAAAGCAAAAGTAATCAGTGAACAAGTACATAACCATTTTTTCTCCAGTTTACCGAGATTACTCACATAAGTATATGTTAGCTCTCCTAGGTTCCTTAAAACGAACAAATGAGAATCATTCACCAATTATACACACCCTAATAGCCACTTACTGTGAATATTTTGACTCTGCTTGTAAACGGAATCAGAAAAGGAGCTTGCATCAGTATGTAGTTGGCTCTCGTAGCTTTCATTATGGCCTGGAGAAAGGATAACAAGTCAGCAACGATAGGGGGCAAGTAAGAGCAAATCATTCAAAGTGATAGATAATATTAGAGGAAATTGCAGTGTAGTAGTCACCAGAGAGATGAATAATTCATTGACTGTATCAGCTTGGAAGTCGCTCGAGGAAGTGAATTGCAGCCGATTGTTCCAATCTTGCAACTGCGGAAATATTTCACCAACAAAGAGAATAAAATGAGCATTGATCTTTGCCAAGTTATACTGACTTTCAAATATCCATCATTGAGCTAGGAGTATTGACTTCTTTGCAGCACATACATGTGAAAGTAATTCAGAGACTACAAGCCCAACCCTGTTCTGAATCAAGTCAACACGGTTCTTCTTCGAGAGGTCGTTTGAGAGATATTTCCCAGTGTTAGGTTGCGTAAGTGGATTCACCCATAGTAATCGCCATAAAGCCTGGACAAAAAGAGTGATCGTACACAAAAAGAATTGAAAAATTCAAAACCATGGCACATTAGATGATATTTTTTAGCAGAAACTTTCAACAACCACTGCCACAACGCAACCATATGAAAACACAAAGCCTATCTAGCTTGTGTTACACATAGCCATCTAAAACCTCAGCTAATCGCCTCTGTAAATTTTATGTTGCATCTTTATCATGTAAGTATCTTCAATCAACTCCTAAAACTAACGTCAAAGTTACAAGAAGACTGCTCAATGGGATCTGCCAAAACACTTACCTGCTTGAGAATAGTGCCTAATATCTTGTAGCGACAATGGCTTCTCTCGCTCGTAAAACTCCTCATTGTCAAGTATCATAAGCATATGCCTGATCAGCAACAGCAATGTTAAACCAGTTTTTAGGTATCAAACCACCCTCGTAGTGACTTTAGAGTAATACTACAGAAAATTTGGCATAATCGAGCAACCCTTACTTGTAAACAAGACCAAAAACAGCCAACCCGGAGGATCTTCTGGAAGGCAAGCTAGGAGTTTAGGCATGGATGACCACTTCTGGTTCTCATGGCATCGCTTCATATAATTCCACAACACAGCTACAAGCTCAGTTCTATAAGCCAAAATTGTCATGATTCGCTCAAGAGGAAGAATGTTGAATGCTGCATACAGAAAAGAACTGGCTGTGCCAATAGCTAGTGCTTCTTTATCTTCATCGTATGCCTGCGTTGTACCAAGCGAAACTTGATGGAACAAAACCTCCGTCTGCATGAATGACAATAAAATTACTTTTATTCAAATTAGACAATCACTCGATCCAGAGGAGGAATAGCACTTGATGTAATTTCATATGACGTAGAATGGGTACATACTATCTGCAGAAGAAAGCGGGAGTCTATAGCAATGGTTATCTGCTGCTCCAGATTCCTATTCAAGCCAAATTCTGGTACATCATCAATCAACATATCATCCTCGTCAGAAGAGCCTGAACCACAAGAAAAATGCAAGTCTCTTACAGAATAAGATCAAATCAATGAAGAACTACCGAGGCCAGAATTTTTTTAGGATGACAAAACAATGCCATGCGCGAGATAATAAAGCAAGAAATAAATGACATACGCTGTCTGCTTTCTCTTTCTGATGACTTCACAGGAGGAAGTTTCTCCATTAAGAAAGTTGCAACTGATGCAATGTCAATTGCCTGGTCAAAATAAAGAAATAAGACAAAGCAACATTAAAGTCAAATAGAACTGAGAGCACAATGATTTTCCCCAGAAAATAGTATCTGTAACGTTTCCAAACATTATCCAAATGAATGATTTCTCAGTAGCTAACACAAAGAGATAATAAATAAACCTACCATGTCCAGTGAAAATTCAGGCACCACATTCGCAGTTTCCAACGTATTACCAAGAAGGCAAGCATAACTAGGGAATTCTGTGCTTGTATCTATTGGGAGAACGCAGGTATCCTTTTGAATACAAAAAGCCATCTGGTGGATGTAGTGTTGACTTAGACTTGGATTGGCAAAGACCTGGATTATGAAACTATGAGCTTACCAAAGTTCAAATAGATGCTGACGGTCAAGATCGTACTCGTTCAGGGTTAAACATATACTTGTAAATAGCCAAAAGCTATCATTTTAGACTCAGTAACACTGCCTCATAAAATGTATTTTGTTTAGCATCATCCGTGACTAAAAAACATGAGTTTAGGAACCAACCAATTTCAAGCGTGGGAAGAGCTGCCATATCAAAGGTACTGTCAGGATCATAGATGAGAAACTCCAACGAGAATCAACAGCAGGGCAGCAACATGGCTCACGGCCAACATGTGGTACTATCAGTATCAATACTCTTTCTAGTGAAACGATGCTGCCAGTCAGAGTCTGACCTCTTGGGCGTTGTTCCTGCCATAGACCACAATTGCTTTAAAAAAAAAAAGAGAGGATGCTAACTCAATCCGAAAATGTGAAATAAGCTAGAGGAACTAGGTGGTGGGGCATAACCATGAGGAACTGGGAATACCTTAGCCGTAATGACAATTTCCCGAAACAGTTTGAATATGTTTCTTCTCTGTAGGTAACTAACTATTTTGCATGCCCAAGGCAGTTTAGGATCTAGCAACAATGACATCGCCTCCATCAAGATAGCTGTTGAAATGTTAGCCTCTTCAGGAGTAACTAAGAGTTGATCGCTTAAACGGTTCCTGCTGATTCGAATCAGAAGAAGGCAAAACTGAATAATGCAATTTGATACAACAAGGGCTGTGTCCTCTACGAAATGAGAGATGTCATATAACCTATTCTGATGTATAGCCTCGATGCAAGCAAATGCAAGTTTCTTAACTCTAAAATCCACCAAATTACGCTCAGAGGAATAGTCCACGCCAGAAAAAAGGCTGACAATGTCACCTGTCATATGATAAGAATTTGTAATATCAGTAAGCAAATCCCAGTAATTATTGGGAAGAAACTAGAGATACATTGTTCTTGAAGCACTAATAAATAAATATATAGTGTATGTGTGAGGATGTAAACAGCAAAAGGGTGAGTTAATCTGTGGTAAGGGGACATTTCTCACACAAAGTTATAATTTTGCAGCTCATAAGATACACATATTAAAAAAGAGTACATCGTACAAAAGCCATCAATAAATGATTAAGCAAAACTAAAGAAAGGAAAAGCACACTGATCAAACCCAAAAGAAAGAATTGACCAAACAAAAGAAACATGCGGAAATACCAGTGGTGAGAGCAAACTTGTGCAGTAGACGACACGTCTCGACAAGTATGATAAAATCTGCAGCGTTTTGTGCGTTGAAGAAAACAAGAAACTGGCGGAGGAAACTTGAATCTGGCTCAAAGCAATGCCTATGGACATTCTGGCAATTATTCCCATAGGTTTTGCAGAAATCATGGCGCACCTTGGAGCGCTCAATGGCCATTGATCTTCTGCCTCTAAAGAATTTCTGTACCCAAAAATCAGTCAGGAACTTGTCCACCAAAAGGAGCACTATGATTCTGTAGCCAAAAATTTGTTAGCTCTAAGATTCTACCCAGACCTTATTCCTCAGTATCTTTGTTCTAGATTTCCCAGAAAACAAACATAAAATCACACAGTCCCAACAAACCCATTCCACTGTTACCTGAATTTTGACGGCAACAGAGTTCTGCTGCTTCAGTAGCAACCGACGATTTCGTTCCATTCTGGTCTGCTCCAAAAGCTTCCGAGCATCTCTCTCCTTCGTGCTCCGGCCACCTAAATCGATTCGCTTCGGATCGCCGGAGAAAAACATGTGCCCGACCTAACTCTACAATTACCCTAACTCTACAATTACCCTAATACACACGATCGCCGGAGAATTTTTTTTGACCGTATTATACTTCTTCTTTATTTTTAGGGTCATTTGTTGAAGGGTGAATTTGTCTAATGACTATATTGGCTCTGGCTCAAATAAATAACAACTAGATTCTCACCCGCACTATGTGCGGAAACATTAGTTGTATATGATGTAAACTAAACTTGGCTTTCTTATTGTATTAGAATATTAATATCAACATAACAATTTTGAATTAGGGATTTAGCCAAAGAGTGTCAAAATGGGTAACTCGACCCGA